ATTCATGTGCAAAGTGGACCACATATGTAGCATTTACTCTAGCAGGAATTATTGTCAGTTCCAAGCAAACTCTTAGAACACAATTCCCCACTTCGAAGTTGGAGACTGCCTATATATAAATCTACTTGATGAGTCATATACTAAAAGTTCAAAATTACTAAAATGTTTGATCAAGGTCCAAGACTAAAAAATCAAAATCAGCAGCTGAGGTAATTCAAACTTTAAAATTTATCATAAAATATGTGACTTATATCAGTATGATGTGCACTGAAATATGTAATTTAAAAAAAAAAAAAAAAAAAAAAAAACTGACATCAAAAGAAAGAGTTTAATCAAGAACAATGAAGATATAATGCTGGCTTAAGTTTTCCCACCAAAATAGTGAATATAAGAACATCATACACAGCTAAAAAGACTGAAATATCATTCTGCAAATAAACAGAAACTAGAAATAAAAAACAAAAATTATCAAAAGCATAGTGAAGTAACTGCCAAAGAAAAAAAATTTTTTTTCTGGTAGAAGGTCAGCTATTTCATTTTCATTGAGAAATAATATTTAAGATACTATTTCCTGCAAGAAATACTAGTAATATAATATCAGTATATAAAAGACCATAATTTCTACTTAGTTTTCCTTGGTATTCCTGATATTAGAAAATATGAATTATAAATTCAAGTTGGTCAGCTGTTATTGCAAGCATTAGTAATTCCTGTCATTCTACTGATTTCTTTCTCTCAGGCAGTAGTTCTCCAGCAGAAGTAACACATCAAAATCAAATAGGGACTATTTTGAAAATATACATTACCAAATGCCACCACATCTCAAGTGAAGCTACAGTATCTATGTTTTGAACACCCCCACCCTCCCCCCACCCCCCCGTGATTCTGATTGCTAGGCAAAGAACCTGCTTTAAAGGAAGAATTCCATACTTGTCCTACTGACTGGAAGAGCTCTCACTTGGTCTCCCACTGCTGAAACTTAGATTGTAGCACTCAGAGCTGGCAGTAGGAAAGAGAAAAACTCATTTCATTACTTACAGTGAAAAAGTTAAAGAGATGTGATAAAATTATCTATTTAAAGAACATGCAACCATACTTGAAAACTTTTTATATATTTATTTTGAAGTATGCATTTAGGACAAATGGTTTTGAAAATGTATAAAAATAATGTATGTATTAATCCAACTTCAATATTTACATGGTCCCTTAAAAATTTTTCATCAAAAATGTATTTCAACAACCTCCACAGTATTCTTAAAAGTCAGGAATTTAAGATTTTTCTAATAGAAAAATTCTAGTGTTCACCTACAGAAAAATAATGAAATTGAGAATGATACCACTAATATTTTAAAATGTAATCTTTCTGAACTATGCTATGCCACATATAAGAAAAATCTTTATCACTAAACTATAATAATCCTAAGTGGTAACATTAGCATTTCATTTAAGAACAAAGCACAAAAATATTTTATAAAAGAAAATATCCCATTGTAAAAAAGTTTAATGCTTCAAACAAAAATACTGTATCTGAGATCTGATTCCACAATATCAAGTTTTCATATGCAATTTGTAAACATACACCCATTATAGGCTATCAACTTAAAGCCAGTTATCACTAAAAAAGATAGAGTAAAAACGAAATTTCAGTGCAAAAATACGTATCAACTAAACTTATCAACTGACTTAAGACAGTTTTAATATAAAAATCACAACTTAAATCCATAATATAGTCATCCTATAAAGACTTTAAGTCCCTTTAAAATAAAAAGCTCTACAACAGTTATCTAGTTTTCCTTTTTGTTACTATTCTCTAGTAAAAACTTTCTTTTGATTAGCTTTTACAATGTCATCAGGAGATGCAGATTTGAAGTCAAATGGTGTTATTGCTATAATAGGATTTATTTCTTTGTCCTTTATGTCTTGAACTTGCCTACTATAAAGAAAAGTCTTATAAAGTTCAAGGGTGCGTCGCTTGCAGCTTTTCAATGGGTAACGAAGACACAGTGTTGAAGCAAAAGCTGAAGGTCTAGCAGCAAGGGCCTTGGTCCAGGACAGAGAAAATGGTGGCTTCTTAGTCAGACAGCCTTTATGGATTTTCTTATTATCCTTAGTAGAAATGGAATGTTTCCCTAGCTTCGAACTCAGAACTTTAGTTCCAGGTGTTGAAGCAACTGACTGGTCTACTGAGGGTATTGGAACAAAATCTGGGGTTTTTATAAGAACACTAAGGTCAATATTTGAATCTATTTCAGGTGACCTCATTTCAGATAAACTGAGCTGAAAGGATTCTTTCTTAATCTGAGAGTTGTCTATATCAATCGTTTCTGCAATCAAATCAGAAAGTGACAAATTCTCAAAGTCCCTTGTAGGAGAAGTTTTACAAAATGACAAAGATGACAGAGATCCTGTTAATTCTGATGCTCCAGCTGAGGAATGATACCGATTTGCTAGTTGTGACAGGGGAAAAGACCCCAAACTTAGATCTGAGAAACTAGCAGATGGCTTGTTACAAAGATCAGATAAAGTACAGCACTGGTTTGGATTGTTTTCTTTGTGGTCCTGAAACAGTTCAGCTAGGGATGGACTTCCACATTGGGAGAACTGCAAATTGTCATTTTCTAAAATACAATTCTTCACACTTTGTTCAACTGAAGAAACGTTTCCAACTTCAGTCACTTTATGAGCATTTGAATTATCTAGAGCCATATTTTCCAATGAGCTAGTTAGGAGCAAAGGATCACTTAAACTTTCTAAATTGCTTGGTACTGGAATGTTTTGCACATCAGGTACTGAATTATTTTGAATAAATAAAGAGTTATTCGGTGTCATGTTCTTTATCAATAATGATTTTAAATCTGGTATTCCTTTGAACGTAGAATCATCTTTGGAAACACATTCAGATGCATGAGGTCTTAACAAATCAGCATCTAGACTCTTTGAAAGTAAAGTTTCCAGACTATCTGTGGATGATAATCTGACAGATGGCTGACTTTTAAAAGAATCTCTTGGCATATCATCAATTAGTTCAGCTAGTGGCAGCTCTTTTGTTAGCTTATATGATTCTAGTATCTTTTCACTTTTAGGCCTATCAAGTTTCTTTTTTTTATGGAGTAAAAAGTGACTTGGTACAACTGAGGAATTATGATATAATCCACATTTTGCTACTGCACCAGAAAAATCTAATGGATTGCTACTGCAATTCAAATGGTTTGCAGACTCAGGACAAGAGCTTTGAACATTATCAGTTGAAACTTCAGAGAAAGATAATAAGACTCCTTACCTTACAAAAGCCATTAATTTTCAGATGAACAGGTTCACATATGCAGAACACAGTCACAGCAACCAAAAGGAAACATGAAATGAGGCATTTAATTACTAAATGTTTCTTTTGATTATATGAATAAAATGATAGTCATTATTCAATAAAAGTGAACACTCTAAAAATCAACAATAAAAGAATTTTACCTTCCTTTAACTATCTAAAGCAACCTTCATACATTGTTCATTGATATATATAAAAATATAAGTACCAAGTTAATCAATGTTCTAATTTCTACAATTTTATAATGTTAAGGTGTTAACATACTTAAATTATAGTCAGGAATGTCTCAAATTCAAAATGTCTAAAAAAAAAAAAAAACAATGAAAAGAACTAGGTTCATCTTCTGTATTTTTAATGTATTAAAAACAAGCAAAACCACCCTATAATTTAACTTCTACAATGATCTGGGATAAACTATTGCTATAGATGGCATATTACAGACTCACTTTCATGATTTGGTCAGTTAAAAAGTGCAACCCCTCAAAATTAAAAAAAAAAAAATTTTAATGGAAAATAAAAACCACCCTATTTCATGGTAGCAGACTGCACATAACTTTGTTGTGGCAAAAATCTAGTCCTCAGCTAACAGGAAATATCAACCCAGTTAATAATCATCATGCTCCCTCTGACAGATCTCATACCAATTACTATAAAGTTATCTCAGTTTCCCCTTCTTATGTTGACTAAATTCCAAATTTAACCCAAAACTCTACAAACTTAAAATTAAACATCTGGCTATAAAATTCAAGAGTGGTATAATTGTGATGCCTATGATATTTAAATAAAACTAAATTACATTTATAAATACTATAAGCATAAAAGGATTTTTTTTACATTGTTGGGCTATAAATTTCCACCTCCTGACCCACTAGAGTTAAAAAACAACAGTGCCCTGGCCTTTAGAGTGCTTGCCCGCAGACCAAAGGGTCCTGGGTTCAATTCCCAGTCAAAGGCACGTACCTGAGTTGCAGGTTCAACCTGGAGGCAATCAATTGTATCTCTCTCACATTGATATTTCTCTCTCTCTCCTTTCCTATCTTACCCTCTATCTAAAAATCAATGGGAAAATATCCTCAGGTGAGGATTAACAACAACAACAAACAATAGTAATTTGAAAGCTCTCTAGCCCTGGCCAGTTTGGTTCAGCGGTCAGAGCGTAGGCCCACGGACCAGAGTCCCAGGTTCGGTTCCCGCTAAGGGCACATACCTCGGTTGTAGTTTGTCCCCGGCCCCGGTTGGGATCATGTGGGTGGCAGCCACTCGATGTCTCTATCTCACATTATGTTTCTCTCTCTCTTTTCCCCTCTCTCTCCCTCCCACTCTATCTGAAGATAAATGCAAAAATGTCCTCAGGTGAGGATTAAAAAAAAAATTAAAAGCTCTCTAAACTCTTAACAAAAAGCAAAGTGTTTTGTCTTATTTTAAATAGAATTTTATTTCCTCCCATATCCTGTTAGTTATGAAAGCAAGCAAGGAAATTAAAAAATACAAACAAAAAAACCAGGCTTTGACAGAGGGAGCACAGCACTCAGCTTAAAAATTCGCAGACTAGAAAACCAACTGAGTTATTGTAACATGCTCAATTTTCTGCCTATTTTCCATAACAGCTCACACAATTAAAAGCCTCTTTTAAAGCACTAACTGTAAAACAACTAAAAGAGAACAAGTAAAAGCATACCTTTTGCTATCTTTCCTGTAGAGGTTGCTCCCTCACTCCTGACCTTCAAATTCTGCATTTTATCTTGTTCCAGAACCATTGACAAAGCCTTCTGCACATCAAACTTGTTCTTCAAAACTGCTTCAACCAATACGTCACGTGGCACCCCATCTCCCAATACCTCTCTCATGTGATCAAGGCATGAATTAAGACGAGCTAGAACAGACAGCAATAATTAAAAGGTATACTAAATGGTGTCATGCAAGAAACCTCAATCTTCAAACCTGAAAGAAAAATTTGACACTATAACAAGATATTCAATGCTACCTTTTCCTCCACAACTTATTTATAATGATTACATTTTAATCCACAATATACCTATCTTCCTTTATCAAAGGAACAATTTTGTTAATTAAGAAAGCACTATGATAAATGTCTCCTAAATAATACTGACTAATGCTTTGAAAAAAATGTAAATTATAGCCCTGGCTAGTTTGATTCAGCGGTTAGAGCATCGGCCCACAGACCAAAGAGTCTCAGGTTCACTTCTGGTCAAGGGCAGTTAGGTCCCCGGCCGTAGTCAGGGTGGTGCGAGCGGCAACCAATCAATGTGTCTTTCTCACACCGATTTTTCTTTCTCTCTCTCCCCCTCCCACTCTATCTGAAGTGAAGATAAGTGAAAATATATCCTTGGGTGAGGATTTAAAAAAAGTAAATTATACACATTAATATCTATTTTCAGTGATGAAGTTTGCACTGACAATGTTTTACATGTGTACAAAGGGAGGGGTAGGTGTGAAAATATTTCTAACTTCTTAAGTGAACCTAATTAATCACTAATTATATTTCTTAAAATTTCTTAAATACTACTACCTTAAGTTTTCTTTAGGCTAACTTCAGTTTCCTCCAGCCAACTAAAATCACCCTTAATAACTCTTTAAAAATGGGTATGATAACCTAACATTAAAATGTCATAAAAATAAGGAAATCCAGTAGATTAAGATAATGGACATTCATTTTAAAAATAAAAATATTTTAATCTAAAAGTCTAAATCGTTAAGAATTTTTATTTTCTGATGACCATATTAATTACTTATAAAAAGCAATTGCTAATAATATTCCTTAATGATGTAAATTCCATGAAAATTATATCCCTGGATCCTAAAATAGGGCCTGGTAGAGGTCACTGAATACAAATGGATGAACTACCCTAGCCAGTTTGGCTCAGAGGTTAGAGAGTATTGGCCTACAGACTGGAGGATCTTGGGTTTGATTTCGGGCCAAGGGTTGGTACCTAGATTGTAGGTTCGATCCCTGGCCCCATGCAGGAGGCAATCATCAACAGTGTTTCTCTCTTTCCCTCTCTCTCTCCTCCTCCCTCCCTCTCTCCCTCCCAATATAAAAATCAATGGGAAAATATTCTCAGGTGAAGATTAAAAAAAAAGGATGAACATGTTAATTTTATTTGTATAGCACTTGACAGTTTTCAAAATAGTTTATGTATTTTGTAATCCTCACAATAACTCTATAGCCTATATATAATGCAAATTCTAACTAAAAAAATAATAATATGCTTGAAAATCATGGAATTATACCCCACAATGACAACAACTACACTTTCTTTAAAAATACAATCAAACAGTCCAACTAGTGTGACTCAGTGGTTGAGCGTCAACCCATGCACCAAGAGGTCACCGGTTCGATTCCCAGTCAGGACACATGCCCAGGTTGTGGGCCAAATCCCCAGTGGGGAGCATGCAGGAGGCAGCCAATCAATGTTCTCTTTCACTGATGTTTCTGTCTCTCTCCCTCTCCTTTCCCCTCTCTCTAAAATCAATAAAGAAAAAATTTTTTTTAAAAACATGCAATACCTGACTACTTAGTCAAGGACACACAGGTCCCTTTTCCCTTAGATTGTCAAATAAAAAAATGACAACAGCCAAAATAACAATAGATGTCCTATGTGAATGAATCAAAATTATACCTATTCTTTTTGTCAGATCAGCAAAAAATATATTTTTTGGTGTGCTACAGAATTTTAGTAATTAGTTTGTGTGCCATGAGATGTAAAAGGTTGACAATCATAGCTTTAGAGTGTACCCCTTCTACTGGTTAAAAAAAAAAATTGCTATAAAACAGTACGCCATGTTATGCCAGCAGCAGCCTCATACATCTCATTTACTGAGTCTTGATTTAATCTCATGCTTTACATGGTAACATGCTAAAAGATTTGTAAGCTAAGAGCTACAGACATACAACACAGGCTAGGTGTACAGCAGGCTGTTACCATCTAGGTTTGTGTAAGTGCACTCTATGATGTTCATACACCAATGAAATTATCTCAGAATGTAACCCAATGTTTAGTGGCACATGGCTATATTAAAAATAAATTCCTCAAATATTGGGTAATTCTGCTCTGCTTGAATCCAAGATTAATTTTAGGCTAATAATCTATATTTGTAAAATTATACCATACCTATTTCCATAAATACATGGATTATTAAAACTAGAACAGAATACTTAGTATAGCTAGCATCAGGGCTTCTTCTAATTAATTATAGCAACTATTTTCTATACATACACAAGGAATAGAGATATGGAGTCAGCCTGTCTTGATTCGTATCCTAATGCCACTCACTAGCTGGTGCAACTTCAGCCAATTTACTTCTCTGTGTCTCATTTTCCTTACCTCTAATATGAGGACAATAACTGGCCTACCTCATAAAGTTGCTATGAAGATTAAATATATTAATACCTGAAGAACATTTAGAAGAGAACCTGGAAAGCATTTAGTAAAGGTTAGCTATTGTCATTATTATTGTTATCATGCAATTACTTACATATGTCAGATGAGAATGATTACCTTTCATTCTCAAACATATCTTTGAATTTTATACCTTACTAATCATTCTGAGGCTTAGGAAAAAAAGTATAAGACTTCTACTCTATTCCTACTCTCTCATCCCACAAAGACAACTATAACAGTTTCTTCAAACATACAATCAGCCCTAGTTGATGTGGCTCAGTTGGTTGAGCATCATCCTGTGCACTGAAAGGTGCCGGTTTAATTCCTGGTCAGAGCACATATCCAACCCAAGTTGTGGGTTCCATCCCTGGTTGGGATGTGTATGGGAGGCAATGTTTTATTCTCACATCAATGTTTCTCTCTCTCTCTAAAAAAAAAAAAAAAAAATCAATAAAAAAATATATTTTTTAAAAAGTATCTTTACCTAAAATACACACACACACACACAGATACTACTAAAGAGTTTATATACCAGTTCCTCCACAAACTTTTATCCAGATTGTTAAATGTATTTACAGTGGATAAATTTATTTTCCTTCTATATCTGTTGTTTCCTTTTCTGCTTTCTAAGTTTGTGTATTTGTGCTTTCTCTCCATTTTTCTTGGTTAGCAACTGACATATACTCTACTGATTTATTCAATGATCAGCTCTCAGATTCTTACATTTCTTCTTTCTATTTTCAAAGTAATTGTTATCAATTTTCAACTTACAAATATTTATAGAACAAAGTCACACTAGAGAAAGCGCAAATCAGCTCAGCTGTGCTCATCATCAACAGATGGTTTTACTATTAGACCTAGCCATTTTTATTCTGCTTCAATGTTCATCAATCTATGGCTTGAGTGATATGTCTGAAAAATGTCATGTTTAAAATTTAGTTATAAAAGACAAAAGCCTAAATACAAATATCTTTGTTAAAATATTTAAGAGAACTGCCCTGGCCGGTTTGGCTCAGCGGTTAGAGCGTCCCAGAGAGACCGGGTTCGGTTCCCGCTAAGGGCACGTACCTCGGTTTCAGTTTGTCCCCAGCCCTGGTTGGTCGTGCGGGTGGCAGCCACTCGATGTGTCCCTTTCACGTCGATGTTTCTCTCTCTCTCTCTCTTCCTCTCTCTCCCTCCCACTCTATCTGTACAAAAAATGGAAAAATGTCCTCAGGTGAGGATGAAAAAAAAAAAAAAAAATTAAGAAAACTAAAAAGATGCAAACTCAGAACCAATGTCATTACCATTTACCAGTTCTATCTTGACACTTAATTTACATGGATATGACCCATCAGGACACTTGTATAGTGTTATTTTGGACTTAAAATTTTTAAAAATAAAAAATAAATAACAGCCTTTTGGCACCTAATGTTTTGTAAGGAAATGAACTTCTATAATCTAATCATAAGCTCTACATAAGAGCATATGAAACCATAAATATCACTAAAAAAAAAAAAAACAAAAAACAAAAACCACCAAAGTTTCTCTCTTAAGATCAGATGAAAATTTCAATCAAAAATTAGTTACTAAATAATAGCCACACAATCAATTTTCAAATTTACAGTTAACCATATACTCTGCACAAAATATACTTAATAAAATGTAAATTTTCCTTGGAAACATAAGATGCATTTGCACCATTACTACCCACAATCACTATCATGAACAATCACAATAAAACTGGTAAGTTCTGGTATATTAATTATTGGTCATTTTCAGATAAGAAACACAGACTTTTACTATACCTTGATCAAATTCACTTAGTTGATTGTTCAAAAGAGAATTGGAGGATTCTTTCATATCTTCATAATCATATTCTTCCACAGACTCAACAGGTTTGTCACGTCTTGAGTAAATAAACTGAGCAGCTAGAATAAAAAATTATTGCAGAATGCTTTTGTACAGCCATTTCTCATTAACTTTTTCTAACAAAAGTTAAAGTAAAAATTAGTGATTCTGCTCTACTACCTATAGCCATTTATCTACATTCTATAATAATGGATATATAAAAACAAAGACAAAACATATCATACCACAAATCCTTCTCACATGTCCTTACTATTTATTTGCCTCTTATAATCATCTTCCTGCTTTCATTCCCCTGAGCTTACTTTCTCTATAGTTTTCAAAAAACTACCTTTCCTAATATCTCATCCTTGCCTAGTATTTTAATTTTCTTAAAATTTTCTCTTCCTTGGTACAAGTATTCCAAACCTCATATCAAACTAGCTTATTTGCATAATTAAGAAAATACTAAAAACACACTAAGTTTTCAATTTCCAAGAATTACTAATTTGCCTGAACCCAAGAGTTGACCAAAATCATAGTATGAACAACTCATACTTTCAATCATATACTTACACTGTACACCAGTGTCATATGCCCAACTATGACTTTCAGACATCAGTCTCTGCTACTCTGCGCAGTACTGGCACAGTGTTATCACTCAATATGTAATTGGGTATTATGTATTTTATTAAAAGGAGAAAAGAAAAAACATCAAAGTGCCAATATATGCCTGAGTATCACATACAAAATACAAGTGAGCAAAGAAGAAAATCATCATGAATGCCCAAAAGGCGTTGACTCCTCTGCCTCAACTGAATGCCCACTGAACTATAGTCTTGGAGACTATGTTCAATTGTGAAGGAACAAAATTAACGAATAAATTAAGAAGGATAGAAATATCAATACACTATTCTAAAAGCAATGTGTTATTAGAGCTTTTATATTATTTAGCTTTCTGGAAGAGCATGTGACATATAAGTCTATTGCTTAACATTCCCACATTTGACTTTTGTGCATGTTTTCAGGAAGTCACTATCTATGAAAGTAAGGAAAACTAACTACATTCAAAATTTATAGATAATGCATATATAGACAATAGATAATACTATGGCTTATGTGTAAAACCATACTCAGAATGCCATGGCATAAATGCTATCTATTCGCAGTATAAATCAATGATGGTTTTATAGATTAGCAGGAAGGCAAAACAGAAAAAAGTAATGACATATTTTAAAAGCCAAATGAGTAATGTGCAGATAACATGTGGCAGAAGCACAGAAGATTAAGTAATCACTGAAGACCAGAGCAGTTATAACAAGGAGGTAATAACATCAGAAAAATTGAAGAGGTAGAAGACATCTTAGATAAGAACAGAATAAGAGAAATACTGAGCAGTTGAGAGAATTAAATGTATTCTGCTATAATGTACATTTCCTTAATCAAACTAGCTCATACCAAATGATATAGGGATATAATCAAAGTATAATATTCAAGTTGCTTTGGTTTATGAGATTTTCCCCCCCAATATTTCTCTATTTTGCATCACTGCATAATAACAGCAGGTAGAAAGTCCAGTAACACTAACCACAAAATATTATAACTATAACTGTACTGTAATACCAGATAGCCCCACATTCTTCCTCTTGGCTCAGTTTGGCCACATGTCCTGTCATGTCCTGTCTTTGTGTGTGCTTACCGCTTGGCTCTCTAAGATCTGTAAACATTTTGCCTTTGCAACATTACTCATTATTTTTAACTCTTTCTTACACCACTTTTCCATCAGGCTTTCCCCATTTTTATTAAATACGTCCTATGTTTACTGGAATATTTATTAGAAAGTTAACATAGCCCTGGCCAGTGTGGTTCAGTTGGTTGCAGCATCGTCCCATGAACTGGGACAGGACACAGGTTCAATTCCTGGTCAGGGCACATAGCTAGGTTGTAGATTTGATCCTCAGTTGGGGCACATGCAGGAGGCAACTCATCAATGTTATCTCTCTCACATCAATGTTTCTCTCTCTCCCCCCCCCCACCTCCCTTCCTCCCTCTCTAAAATCAATTTTTTAAAAAGGGAGAAAAAAATGTTAATGTATCTTTTTCAAACGTGCAAGAATTTTTATTATGATTACTGTTTTTGTTAGCACTTTATAGGTGAGTGGTCTGTCATGATCCTATTTTTTCCCAGAAGTTCAGCTATTTTTAGCATACCATTTTAAAGACCACAAGGTGGTCATTTTTCAAGAATGCATATATATCCCTATTTCCGCCCCCTCTTGTGCAAGGAGACTATAACACTGCTATTATAAAGTCAGCCTGGCTAAACAGCAGAAGAAACATCCTACTTTATAGATACTCTAAGATGACCACTTTTTTCACATTAAAATCTCAGAGTGTGGGAATGTCTCAATCACATGGCATCTTAGCATTATGTAATACTTAAGACTGATGGTTTATTTTTTTTTTTTTAAGTGGTACATAACATAATGGTTAAGTCTTAAAATCCACATCTTCTTCGAGTTAGTAAAAGGCGGTAGTACTAAAAAATATAAACTGGGCCATTTTGTAGTTGGTAACTTATAAATTACTTTCCTGGTTGAAATAAACTATTCAGTTTAGCTTTTAACAGCAACAAATATACTTTCTCCGACTTTCTCTCATAGCTCTGAGCTGTGAGGAAAAACGTAAGAAAAATAAAAAATTAAGTGATGTAAGAAATCAGATACTTACTCCTCAACAATTTTCACTTAGGAACTATTGACAGAGAAAAGGAAGTTGTCAATGTCTAGGCTTCTACTCTACCTCCTAGGGGCTATTTTTTCTGGGGGGTTTTCCTGCCCCAAACCCCCACGAAAATCAACTCAGAAAGCTATACTGTGGTCACTGTTTTGGAAATATTAATGGTTGGATTTCCAGGGCAGTGGGGAGGGGAGGAGGGTAGTTAGAGGAAGAAAAAATGTCCAAATATTTGAGGTTGAAATGAGAGCCCAAAAGGTATCAAATGTAATAAAAAGAGAGAAAGGCAATGGTAAAAAAAAAAAAGGGGGGGGGGGGTGGTAAATATAAAATGCTATTCCTTTCTAAAAATTTAAATGCTTTCTAAAAAATTGGACACCCTTAGTGGCTTTTAAAATTAAGGCATTTTGACAGACATAAAAGTTCAAAGAATTCAAAACCTGACTCCTGAAATTGCCTAAAATTGTTTCCTAAACACCTTAAAATAAAAATCATACGAAGCATTCATTCAAGATTTGGCTTCCTAGGTCTCTTCCCCTGGGATAGTTGGATTCAGTGGTGCTAGCATGGGGCAGGGAACCTGGATTTCATTTCGGCTGACTGGTAGCACCAGGGAAGGTTAGAAAGCACTCGCCTACCAGTCTTCCCTTTCATCTGGCTCACTGATAGTCCACTTTGTATCACTTCATCATTACCTTCCAAAAATACTACTCCCTTATTCAAAACCCTTTAATAAGCTGACACTACACACCTAAATTAAAAACTATGTTCCACAATTTGGCTCCTAGTTTCTTTCCTAGCCCTATTTCCTACCGCAATTGCATTTATCATGTGGCTCTTCCCAAACACACCTCCCTTAGAGGCTACTGCTTAAGCACCATTGTTTCCTCTGTCTAGTATGCCACTGACGCCCATATTTACCAGTCCCAATCCCACCTCTTCCAGAAGGCTTCCCAGACTCCTTCAGGCACAACTATTTCTTTACCCACCATACTGTTATGTAGCATGCTGTATGAATGGGATTTTTCAGTGACTGCCTTATACTACACTAATTTATAAATGTATTAGACTAGGCTTTTTCTTACATGTGAATTGATGCTCAATAAAGGATATGAGTTGGAATGGAATGAATAAGGATCACTACTGTTAGCATGTAACCACAGAAGGAGACCATTACATGAAGTGGTTCTAATGCCTTGGTGGCAAATAGAAAACTAAAGCAGAGTTAATTCCAGTAAATGCCTCTGGATTAAGAACAACCAATCACGCTCTGGCCAGTTTGGCTCAGCGGTTAGAGCGTCCACCTGCGGTCCGGAGAGACCCGGGTTCGGTTCCCGCTAAGGGCATGTACCTCGATTGCAGTGTGTCCCCGGCCCTGGTTGGTCGTGCGAGTGGCAGCCATTCAATGTGTCCCTTTCACATCGATGTTTCCCTCTCTCTCTCTTCCTCTCTCTCCCTCCCACTCTATCTGTACAAAAAAATGGAAAAATGTCCTTGGGTGAGGATAAAAAAAAAAAAAGAACCACCAATCACAAAAAAACAACTAGGTTCGCTCAGCTGGTGTGGTTCAGTGGTTGAGTGTCGACCCATGCACCAAGAGGTCGCCAGTTTGATTCCCGGTCAGGGCACATGCCCAGGTTGTAGCCCAAATACCCAGTGCGGGGCATGTTGGGGGTGGCCAATTGATGTTCTCTCTCATCGATGTTTCTATCTCTCTCCCTCTCCCTCTAAAATCAATAAAAAGAAAAAGATTTTTAAAAAGCGAACTAGGTTCTCCCAGATAATGTAACCACTTAAGCTATAGACAAGCAAATAACTTCTTTGCTTTACTTTGCATCTTTCTATAAAAACTTAGCCCTTATCTCCTATAATGGAGTGCTCCTAACCACCTGCAGTTTGGCGCTGCCAGATTCAAATTGTCGTTTGCTCAAACTCTTTTTAAAAAAATCTTAATATGCCTCGGTTTATCTTTTTCTAAAAATATTTTTTAATCCTCACCCCAAGGATATGTCTTCATTGATTTTTCGAAAGAGAGGAAGTGGGGGAGAGAGAGCGAAGAATATCAATGTAAGAAACACTGACCGGCTGCCTACACTATGCACCCGACGGGGATTGAACCTGCAACCTAGGTAATGTGCCCTGACTGGGAACGGACCCCGCAACCTTTTGGTGTATGGGGACAACGGTTCAACCAACGAGCCACCCAGCCAGGGCCCTCAGTTTATCTTTTAACACTTCTGATTATATTAGTTAAAACAAAATTCACAACTGTCCAAATAAAGTTTTATATATAGGCTCTTTTTGCTATCTCCAGCTCTTTGATGTCTGTTCAATATTCAATATCAAAATTAATCCTTCTGCCCTGGCTGTAGGTTGTTCTCAGCTGGGGCATGTAAGGAGGGCAGCTGATAGATGTTCTCTCTCACATGTTTCTCTCTTCACTCTGTGTCTCCCCCAGCACCTCCCTTCTCTCTAAAATCAGTATGCATATCCTTGGGTGAGGATTAAAAAAAGAAAGTCAATCTTCCTAAAAGGGAAAAAAGCTATCACAGTCAGAAATCACCCTTTGATCAGGAAAACTGTGCTTAGTAGAGTTTGAAAAATACATTGGCTGATAAATTTTACAAATTTCTACTAACTGATAAAGTCACTCAGTTATCAGAATTCATTAGACCCAGAATATGATCATCTCTTCAATGACATTAGCTGCTTCTTTAAGAAAAGTATCCTTCTAATAGAAGGATATTTTAGATAATAGTTCTAAAACTATTCATTTCATTAAAAATATCTTGGAAAATATAACACTAATAAGAAAAGTTTCTGATATGATATTGCTATGTTATACAGTCAGGCACTGCTTAACAACAGGGATATATTCTAACACACCTAAGCTATAGGGTATACCAACGCCATATATGCGGTCTGTCACTGACTGAAATGTTGTTATGTGGTACATGACTATACATGTTTTGAAAAATTTTAAAAACTCAAAACCACATGCTTTAGTTAAACATACCAGTTTTCACAGAAGAAACTCAAAACCATTTATCTCTTACTTTGATAAAGTCAGTTTACTTCTTGGTGTGTTCAAAAGTAACTCTCAAAGAGTCAGATGGTCCTGGATGTGAACCACAAACAATACACACTTCAAGAGCTGTGAGAGACAAGGGTAAATTCTGACCTCAAGAAAACTAGGCCATAAGTGCAAATCTCAGAAAAACACTCTCAGAATACCTAATCTTGTGTACTCTTAGCTCATTACTCAAGATTAAGCATGATTTATCAAGATAATACTAGATAAATGAATAGGCTAGTCTGTAATATTAAGATATTTTTCAGTAGTCTCTCTCTCTATAAAGGTTTTCACCCCTGTACAAGCCATATTCAACCAACTTCCAACTTCTGTAGACCTTAACGCCTGTACTTGAGCCTATCTCCAAACCCAATGCTGTCACCTTGGTCCTAAAAAATGGTTGTCAAAGCAAGTCTCAGAATACCCTGGAGGATTTGTTAAAACAGTAGCTATACCCCACCCTCAAGAGTTTTTGACTGTGAGTTGGGGCCCAGAATTATTTTTCTAACAAATTCTCAAGTCAAGTGACACTAATGGTACATGGACATTTTGAGAACACTATCTAAAATATCCTCACTTCTTCCAAATCAGTGTAATAGTCTCCTAACTAATCTACCTACAATTACTCATGTACTGCCTTCCATCCAGTATCTACTATGCAGAAGAGATTTTTTTAAACCTATCTAATTATCAAGCTGCATCATCTTCCCAGTTTTATGAACGTGCCATGCTCTCTATTGCACTTAGAATGTGAGTGATCAAGTCAGTGCTACCAGATATCACTGTCACCTAGTCAACTCTGATAATGAATTATAGGAGCCCAAAAGTATTATCCTTAATCTCTATAAAATGGTCTTTTGAACCCCTTATTTAGCTTTAAAATGCACTTAAAACGCTTTAACCAAGATTTGCTTATAATTAAATTAACAGGTTAGTTTTTGTTATTAATTCACTGCTATCTTTAATACATTTTAGCGAATAGGCCATATGTTGAAAAAAACACTGTAGTAACTTTGCCAACATAAATATTACATATCTACAACTATAGTCTACTAGGTAAGACTAGATAAATGAATGAGTTAGTCTACATATTTAAATCCAAGAGTCACCTCTCCTAAACAATGTTCAGGGAATGATTAGCACGAGATCACACGGCACTGAACCTGGTAATTGGTTCTGTTGTCGGGTGACGTGACATTCTGCAAAAGTTTTAATTCTTGGGGGGCCACTGACAGTACTTAGCCGTGCCCCAGCCATGCGCCTCTGTTTACTCAAGGTGACTGGTAAACACATGCATTTACTTGACCTGTTCAGTATAAATTTAAAATTACTGTAATACATATAGAAAACTTTTCTGTGAAGTTAAATTTTTCATGCATACTTAATTTTAATTATACAAACTTGTCTACTAAGTAAAAGCAGATAAACTAGTTAATTTGTCAATTTTTTAATGCACACATTTGGAAAACCTACTTTATTATATAACAAACTTCTGGCTTTAATGGATACCCCCTCACCCAAATTAGACGATTATATTGAGGTTTTACTGTATTAAAGAAAAGGCGAGCTTTGATGAAAGTATTAATCACATGAAACCTTTAAACTTGGGGAAAATAAGTTTTAGGAATTACATTTATGCTGTATCTATATTTAATTGTACCCCTTTTATGGCATGGTAAAATTTAGCAGGCATTTTAACTAATTTTATAGAATAGATAGAAATTTGAAGACAGATGTATTGTTAAGAGAAATTACTGAGAGAAAGGTCTGGATCAAAGATCCAGTCTTTGCTGGAGAGAACACATGAGTGTTATCTTTATACATTGGCAAAGAAGAAAACTTTGGGCAGATTAGACAGAAGATGCAGTTCTGATATGGAATCCTACATGAATCTAAACTCCAAATCACTCTATGGCTCCATCAGAAGTCAAAACACACGAATCGATTTTGTTTACCAAGTTGTTTAACAGTAGATAAACTAAAGTACTGTACAAAGGGAACAACACTTCAATGTTTCTAATATTCAAGATATTCCTGAGAATATATCATTAACTGCCATCTACCTTCATAAGTTTTAGTTTTAGATAAAATTACCATTCTAGTACACTTTAGATTAATTGCATGTTACAAAGAATATTGGAAAAGCCAGTTTTCAGAGTTTCCTTCAAATTGTTTAAAGCTAAATAATGGAATCAAAACTTTCAATTCTATTCACGGGTAAAAAAAATCATTTTATACACCTTTAAAAGTTAACATATATTTATCTTTTAAAAATGTTATATAGCCCTGGCCATTTAGCTCAGTGGTCAGAGCATCAGCCTGCAGTCCAGAGAGACCCTGGTTCGGTTCCCCCTAAGGGCACATACCTCGGTTGCAGTTTGTCCCCAGCCCAGGTTGGGGTCATGCGGGAGGCAGCCACTCGATGTGTTCCTTTCACATCGATGTTTTTCTCTCTTTCTCTCTCCCTCTCTATCTCTCTCTCTCTTTCTCCCTCCCTTCCTCTCTCTCTCTCTCTTCCTTTCTCTCTCTCTTCCTTTCTCTCTCTCTCTCTCTTCCTCTCTTCCTCTTTCTTTCTCTCTCTCTCTTGCTCTCTCTCTCTCTCTCTCTCTTCCCTCCCACTCTACCTGAACAAAAATGGAAAAATGTCCTTGGGTGAGGATAAAAATAAAATAAAATAAAATAATAATGTTATATAATGTTATAGGCTTATGGAACATTCTAGTCATAGAATGACACTAACAATATTTTTGAACAACCAAATAATGAAATCAAATGATTTTTTAAATTTACCTGTTGATGGAGAAATACAATAATCATCCTCTACAGACTGGCCATAGAGATCATCATATTCAAAATCTAAAATAAAAAACACAAGATATAAATTCATTTACAAATTCTTATATTCTTAGTTATTAACAAAAAAGCATCTGAAGTTTTTCCAAAAGAAATTAAATTGTTCATCAAAATTAAAGAAACTTGGAATATCCACTTTTCAAAAAAATTCTAAAAATGTTACCTACAAAGTAGGTATTTACTGACTTTCTATATTTATACACTTATAGAGACATACATGGTTCTTGTTTTTAAGCTAACTGGGTTTTATTGTCATTCCAATTTTTCACCTCATGTGATCAAATAATAATGCCACAGACCACATACTTGAATTGTCTTTCTAGTGTTGACAAATATCTGAAATAAAATCCATCCATTTTTTTCACCAAATGCCCTCTAAAACCAAAGCATTTATTTTTTATACAACTAATGAGCACAGGGTATACAATCAGACCATGAAAGCAGATTTTATTCATGAGAACAAGGTAACCTCTATAAAAACTACCTTATCCTAAACTCCCTTGAAGTCACTCTGCTCGGGCTAATAGGCCTTTTTTCCTACTGACCAGAATGTTTTTAACCAAATTTTCCTACGGCTATTCCTCCTCTTGGTTAAGGTTCCCACTCAAATGTCACCTATTTGCAGATGTCTCCCCTGACCACTCCGGTAGAAAGCAGCAAGCCCCGCCATTCGTACTCTCCAGCACACTCCTCCAGCTGAAAGCCTTCAAAGCACTAACTCTGCCTGTTCCACTCCGTGAGACCATAGCTTCTTCAGGGCAAGACTATGTGCAGCCAACTACCTAGATCATGTTTGGCACTAAATTAATACTTGTTTTATTATAAACTAATGAATCAAACAACTTAAAACTAAAAACCCACAAAAAATATAAGTATCTTTGCATAAAGACATTCATTCGACAAATACTAACACTTGGAACTATGTCAGGAACTATTAGGGACATTTGGGGTACAACAGTAAGCGACAGGCACATTCCAGATCTCCACAAACCTGAAATCTAACAGACAACAGACAAGAAAATGGGTAATTACAAAACCATATGACAAGTGTTTGACATGAGAAATACAGAGCTATTGGAGAACACACATATGAATGACAAAAATAGAATTGGGTATGGGGTGGCTAGGGAAAGATCCCAGAAATATAATATTTAAACCAATTCCAAAGGATAGTTAACCAGTTTTTGTTCAAAGGCTGAGACCAAATGTTTATGGCAAAAAAAAATTAGATAAATGCTATTATTGGACTAATATGTATAATTCAATAAATTAGATCACAATCCCAAGTTAATAATAACTTATTAGCAAATAAATGAAGTGCCAGTCACACACAAAAATATTTTTCGATATAAAAAACAAGAATCTTTTTCATTATATCAGTTTTTCAATACTGAAATTGACCATAAAAGGACCACAATAAAAAGATGGAAGAGAATCCTTTCCTTGGATCTTTATAAAACAGTTCTTTTCCTCAACAAAATTTTGGGAGTACTGACTTCATCCAAGCAATATGGTAGCCATTGGAGTAAATATATGGACTTTGCCTTCCTGGCATTTTTATACTGGTAGCTAAGACAGTTATGCAAAGTACTATCCAAATTACAGAGAACAATGTGAGAGTTAAATAGAGAAAACCATGGGCTTTGGAGCACAGACTCTCTCTAATTAAGTTATATTAGTTTTGAGAATTTTAAAATTATTATTCTGAGAAACAAGGGAAAGCTTAACTGAGAAGACCAGAAATATACTGGACCCTTAAAATGAGTAGAAATTTTAAGCAGGAAAAGGGGATGAAGCCCTGGTCGGTTTGGCTCAGTGGTTAGAGCGTCGACCTGCGGTCCAGGGAGACCTGGATTCGGTTCCCGCTAAGGGCATTTACCTCGGTTGCAGTTTGTCCCCAGGCCTGGTTGGGTCGTGTGGATGGCAGCCACTCGATGTGTCCCTTTCACATCAATGTTTCTCTCTCTCTCTCCCTCCCGCTCTATCTGAATAAAAAATGGAAAAATGTCCTCAGGTGAGGATAAAAAAAAAAAGAAAGAAAAGGGAATGAACCTCCTCTGCTATAGGAAAAGTTTGATTATGATGTCATCAGTTGTTCCAAAGAAACATGACCACCTAACCTGGAGATGCCAAGGTAAGAAGATATTTAGCACTCACTCCCTCAGGCCAAGCACTTCTCCAGGAAGCTTTCCCTCACATGGAAATCCTAATCAAACTCCTCCAATTCCCTCTGAATAAGGTACTCTAACTTACTTAGCTTCCTCCAAACTCTGTGAGTACTTTTTGTAGCATCTCATACTCCAGTCATCTACTACTTGTGTATCTCCCCCTTTAGACTCCCTCAAACATCTCACTATCGGTCCCCAAAGCTTAGAACAGTACACTAAGCATTCAAATAATGAAGACTCAGCACTCAATTAATGTTAGTTGAGGAAATGATATTAAAGAAAACAAATTTATTAAATAAATGAATTACTTTATCAAAGTAATTAGGCCTATTCGTGTCTTTTATAGCATATCTGCAAAAATACCTCCCAGGCTAGAGTAATTCCTAAGTAACTCTGGTCCACATACAATACTGAAAAGGGCCTCCATGCTGAGGTGAATACCAGGTACCTAACATATGCCAGGCTGAATTACAGTCTCCAAATGCAGCAGAGGGTGTAAGCTACCCTCCCCTACGGTCAGAGCATACTGATGCTCTACAATAAGCTGCTGAGAATGCCAATAACAACCATCAACATATTAAGTGTACTACATGTGCTGCACTTTACAAAGTAAACAGGTCTTTATTTCTCTTCTGCACTCAATCATGTTTGTCTGTAATTTTAGTTTATATGATACTTAGCATGACCCATAATTATCCACTGCATACAGATGTTGTGCTTGTCCTAAACTAATTGTAACTTCTTTTAAACTCCTAGAGAACATTCATATACATTTTCTTTTATTCTGTCATTTTCAAAATCAGTAAATCCTTTTCGAAGTCCTCTTTCTTCTATTACTGCTTTTTTCCCATTCCAAAAATGCACTTATATTGAGAATTATCAACCAAGAATTAAGTATGTACCTAAAATAATCTAATCTACTTATTCTTTGGGCCTTTTTAATATGTATCTTTTCTACTGTCCCCTAAATTTCCAATTTAACTTGGAAGTCATAATAAAATTAATCAGCTCAAACCAGATTCTGCACTAAATAATTATGAAAACACAGTTACAACAAAACAAATGAATGTGATCATTAACTCAATCAACCCGTGTTTCACAAATAAGCAACGTTTATGGGCCTTTTTGAAAGGGGGTTGGGAAGTCGGGAAAAGGGGCTAGAAGTGGGCAGTGTGTGCCGGCCTGGGAGGAAACAATGGGAGGGAGAGGTGATAACGCTTACGCGCACAAACACCACCGGGTCCCAACCTCGCCAGGCGTCCTTCCCAGATGACGCCGGGCTGCACCTCCCCTGCCCTAAATAACATCAATTCCTAAGAGCAGAAATCACGACATAAAACAATAGTCTGGCACGCAGAGGGCCTATTATTTTCTCCAACTGAGCTCCCTCTGAATTCCAAGCAGGCACCACCGGCCAGAACTCACAAATCCAAGGGGATGCCAATAAGCTGGGATCCCAGCTGGAACGGAGAAAATGACATCCCGGCATAGGCCCGCCACCTACCTTCATCGTAGTTATAGCCGCGAACATTCCGATGCCGGGCCATGGCGGCGAAGAGGGCGTTTGCCACAGCCGCTTACAAAACACCCGCTCAGAAACCGATAAGGCGCCAACTGCGGCCTGGAGAACACCTAAACGCCATTTTGGCTTCCGGCAGGCCTCTGCGCTGAGCGCCTGCGCACGCCGGACGTCCTGTCTGCCCACTGCGCGACCGCAGCCTTTCAGGGTCACCGGCCTGACTGGGAACGCATGCGCACTCGCGCAGATTGGCGTTCCGTTTTGACGTGGCCCCGCCTACACACAGATTGACTGACGAGTTCCAAAACGACGGAATTCCACTGCTCATTATTTGGCGTTTGGAGCAACTGTTACTAGCGAGAATCCTAGACCTACACCGGCGTTCTAGATTATTTTCCATATTTGGTTTCTGATAATCTAGTGAAAAAGCTGTGCTGAATAAGGGCCACCAACTGTCTTACACAACTTTCATCTTTGAGGCCTACTTATGCCCATAATAAGTACTAACAAACTTATGTATATATATATTTTTTAAGAATTAACCCAAGCTTTGGGGGGGGATACTCTTTTTAAATGGGTATATATGGTTAAATTGAGAATCGGCTACAATAAGTCACCAGGCTTTCATGTTGTTCATGGTTTCATGTATCTGTCCTGCATTAATACCTCTAGTAAACAATTACCTGCCCTTGCCCATAAAAGGATTATCTGCATAATAAAAAAAAAATTATTCACTGAGCATTCATTTAACAAGTAATCCACTGTAACATACTAAGAGTATTAAATATAACTCTTTAGAAATGGCACATCTAAGGTCGCTTAGGGTAATGATGAATGTTGTTGAAGAATAATAAAAATTAACACGAAAATAATTCCTAATTTTAAATGTCTTAAGTGTTTTTTTATTTTACAATTTCAGATAATTTTTGTTATAGTCTGTTCATTAGTAGAATAGAGATAGTAATAGTATATAACTCATAAAGTTGTGAATTATAAATTTATGCAAGATGATTTCACATGAATCTTAGTAGGTGCTTTAAAGTTTCAGATGTTATTGAAATACAAGTGACAACTTCCAACCCACTATAATTCTCAGTTATGAATTTCAGTACAACTCATTGAGGTATAAAGAAGATGAGCTATAAATTGACCATTCAGAAACAGAACTACAGGAACAATAAAGAAAAAGACATTACTTCTGCTTGAGGGATGCTATATAATTTGCCTCTAATTCATTAATAATGCAATCCCTCAAATTCTAAATACTTGAGAGCCTTCTCAAGCAATAAGGCTCCAATAGCAAAGCCTTCACTGATTTCCTCAGAAAGTTTTAGGGATTTTAACCCTTGCCCCAGAATTCTTTAGATGTCTATTTTTTATTGTGGTTTGATGGAAAGTACCATGACTTTGGAGTCACACAAACCTGGATTTCAGTACCTGTTCTGCCACTTTCTGTATGGTAACTTATTTGGGCTCAACTTTTTCATCTGTAAATGGATACAAGAAGGTATGTCTTCTATTTTGTGAAAAGTGAATGAAATGATGGATGTAAAAACAGTAGCTGTTACATGGTAGGTACTATGAGGAAAAATTCTTTACCTGCTTTAGGTCTCTGACGGGGTCTAAGAATTAAACTGACATAAGACAAGTTAACAGGAAAAAAACATACGAGTTTAAAATTTTCCTGATATATGGGAGACTTCACAAGAGAATGAAGACCTGAAGAAGTTACTAGAGCAGAAGACTCTTATACCTCTTAAAGAAGCAATCAATTTATGAAGAATTGACAAGACAATGGGGCTTGGGCTATGGGTAATAAATTACGGGAAAGTGACTAGAAGATATGTGGAATGCGGGGGACAAACTGCTAGAAGATAAGGGTTATTTCAGTAAGTTTGTACAGATCCATTTCAGCATCAATTTCCAATCTTTAGTGAGAAGGACACTCTTTCCTCCTGGTATAGGGAGGGCACCTTTCTCATGGGAAATTTTGTGGCCTGTTATATATAGAAAAGGGCAGATTAGAGAGCTTTTCTTGCATCTGCTGTTTCTCAGTTCCTTCAGCTCAAAATAATATGATATTTGGGGAGGACTTGCCCTGAACTTCTTGAGTACTCAATAAATGCTGGTTCTCCACCATACTAATTGGAAAGCTTCACCTGTGTTTCTCCAACACCCTAATGTCTGGCACTTTGAATGTTTGCTGAATGAATTGCTGAACTAAAAAAGATAAATGTGGTCTCTGGCTATGAAATGTTTAACAAATACCATAAACGACTATACAAATAAGTAATTTTTATATTAATTTGTTTAAAAATTATTAATGAAAGTAATACATCTACATTACTGAAAAGTTTTCACACCTTTATTGAGGAATCCTTGACAAACAATAAACCATACATAAATTGTACAATTTGATATATTCTGACATATGCTGTCACCAGTGAGACCATGAACCCAATTAAGATAATGAACATATCCAGATTCCCAAAAGTTTCCTCAGGACCTTTATAATCTGTCCCTCCTGCTCCTCACTGTCTCCCCATCATGGCAACAACTGGTCACCTTTCATCACTATAGATTAGTTTGTATTTTCTAAAATTTTATAGAGGAAATCATATGATACGTATTATTTTTTATCTGGCTTCATACACACAGTAAAATCATCTTTATATTTATTCATGTAGGTACATCAATCAATATTCATTCTTTTTTTATTGCAGAGGGGAATTCCATTGTATGGATATACCACAATTTATTTTTTATTCACCTCTGGATAGATATTTGGGTTTTCAATTTTAGCTACAACAAATAAGGCAGCTATGATCGTTCCTGTACAACTCTTTGTATGGACACAAGCTTTAACTTATCCTGGGTAAATACCTAAGAGCAGAATGGCTGTGTGACATGATAGGTTATCTTTAGCTTTTTAAGAAACTGCCGAACTGTTTTCCAAAGTGGTAGTAACATTTTTATTCCCACCACCAGGTTAGTTCCATTTTCTCCACTTGGTATGGTCTAAAGATCCTATACTTGTTTGACATTTCTAGATAATTTTTGGTGTAGTGTCTGAATCTTTCTGTCACTTTTTTAATGGGATGTTTGCTTTCTTATTTTTTTTATTTTGGAGAGTTCTTTTTATATTCTGGATGTAATGTCTTTATCTGATATATAATTTGGAAATATTTCTCCCCATTTGTAACTGGTCTTTTCATTTTATAATAGTGTCCTTCAAATATCAGAAGTTTTTAGTTTTGATGAAGTCCAATTTATTAATTTTTTTATATGATGGGATTGTGTTATTGATTTTGTAACTAAGAAATCTTTGCCTAACCCAAGATCACAAAAGTTTTCTTCTTTTTAAAATAAATTTCATAGTGTTGGGTTTTAAATTTAGATTTTTTATCCATTTTCAGCTGATTTTTGTATACAGTATAAGGTTTGACTCAAAGTTCATATATATATATATATATATATTCAAGTGTTCCAATATCACTGTTGAAAAAAGGTCCTTTCTCCATTGAATTGCATCTATGCCAAAAATCAGTTGTCCATATTTCTGATTTCTGGACTCTCCATTCTGTTTCATTGATCTGCTGATTTGCTGACCTAGCTTGACACCAACAGCATGCTGTCATGATTACTGTAGCTTCATAAATCTCAAAATGAGGAAGTGCCAATTCTCCAATTTTGTTCCTTTTCAAAGTTCTTTTAGCTATTTTAGGTCCTTGAAATTTTCATATCAATCTCAAAATGAGGTTATCCGTTAATACAAATATTCCTTCTGGGAGTTTGACTGGTATTTTGTTCAATCTACAGATAATTTGGAGGAAAATCGACATTTAACATTGCTACAAACATGCAGTCTTTCAACACAGGCACATCATGTCTCTCCATTATACATTTTCTTTACTTTCTCAAAATTCTTTCTAGTTTTAAGTGACTGGTCTTGCACTGAAGATTTCATTCTAATTATTCTATATATTTTTTATTCTATTGTAATTTTATTTTAAATTTCAAAGTGAAAGTATATAATTAAACTATTAAAATTAATAAGTTAATTACTAGCATCAATACACCAAAAAAAAATTGTACTTGCATATAACAAGGACAAATAGAAATAAAAGTTAAAAATAGGTTAGCTATGTTAGCATGAAAGTAATTGTCAAATAGTTAGGATAAATATAAAGAATGATGTACAGGCCTAAACCAAAACTAGAAAACATTTCTTAGAGAAATTCACAGTAAATGGAAACATATACCAAGTTTATGGATTGTTAAAGTCACTATTATTTTGTTAAATGAAAGAGATGTCAATTATAATTTAATCTGTATTCAATGTTATCTTAGTCAAATCCTAGTAGTTTCTTTGTTTTTTGTTCTTTTTTTTTAGTGAAAATTGGCAGTCAGATTCTGTAAAGATCCTAGAATAGCTAAGATAATATCAAAAAAGAATCAAGTTGAAGAACTTACACTATCACTAAGACTTGCTTGTATGCAATAGTACGATAGTGTGATATGAATACAAGGATAGACAAGTATAACATTGCAACACTGTGGAGAGTTCAGAATCAGAGCTGCACATATGTGAGCATCCAGTTTACAACTAAGTCACCTATGCAATTCAGGAATGCAGGAGTTGGTCTTGTCAATATATTGTTTGATCACAAATCTAGGGAAAAAAATAGGAAAATATCTGTATGACCATGAAGTGGGCAAAGATTTTTAGTCAGGGCACAGAAAGCACTTACCATGAAAAGAAAGATTCACAAATTGAACTTTAATAAATTAAGAACTTCTATACTAATACAATATTATATATTTGAAAGTTAGAACTTAGAAAGATCTAAGAGAATAGATATCAAAAGTTCTCCCCTGGTTGGTTTGGCTCAGCGGTTAAGTGTTGGAAAACAAAATTTTAACAATGTGTGGTGATGGATGTTAACCAGACTTTCTGTGGTGACCATTTTGCAATATATACAGATATCAAACCATTATGTTGTACACCTGAAACTAATATAATGTCATATTTCAATTATATCTCAATAAAATATTAGGAATGCCTAGTCATCAAAAGACAATATTAAGAACTTCTGAAGGCAAGTTTCAGTCCAGGAGAAGATATATGCAGCACATATATCTCACGAAGAACTCATATGTAGAACATA